TAAAGCTGTAAAAAGCACTGAAAATAAGAGTTAACTGTCAAAACTTAGGTTCATATCACAGAACAAAACAGAAACTTACATGATATGCTTATTTGACAGACAATTCTTGTTTCGTAAAAGAGCAGGAAGTGTTGGCGTCAATACTATAAAACACTACTTCAAAAGGCTATGGCTGGTTTCCACAGCAACCATTTTGAGTAAAACTCTAGAAATTTAATTTCTCTTCTTGAGTGCAATAGCACACAATTTATCTTTCTTCGCCATATTTAAACAAACTTTTTGGTCCATATTGAGGGTACCATACCACCTTAAGCTAACATTTCAGCCCATTTCCAAGCTACCGATAGATTTTACAGATCTCAGTTCTCAAATTTCAGCTGTAAGGTAAAACGCGTGTCATTTCTCAACTGACAGTTGCATTTTTGACAAATTTTCAACTACAAGTTATACTTAATCCAGGCAAACCCTTGCCTAGTCGACCATATTTTGTCGCCTTTCGTCCTTTCTTGTTTAAATTTGAATCTTTGATGACAATTTTTCAGTGCACACAACATTAGAGTTAAACCGTTGACTTAAGCAATGCAAGAATAGTGGTCAGCTGGCGGTTTTTACATTTCTTTAAATTTCTATCAAGAAGGCGAACTTCTAGTAATTCTGGCAAATAATAGTATGAAGCCTACCCGTACAAACCTACCTGGGTGCGAGCTGTTTTCAACTCTCCACTGGTGCCAGAAACTCTGATGCGTGTAAACCGGCTAATCAAGTCAATCCTATGTTCAACAGTTACAAAAATTACAGCCACTTAAAGCGCACAAAGCCACGGCTAACCTTCATATTGTTCTTAATTGCGATAAATAAAAATAATTAAAATAGTCAAATTTCTGTCACAGGCGGCATGCTGTTTCTGAGGTGCTTATTGTAAGTAACTTATTGTCGCCATTGGATGGAAAGCCGTTTTTTAAGGCCAAATAAATGCTTGTCAGTTTCCAATTTACTGCCAGTCCCCTGTCAATCAGAAGTGGTTGTTTTAGGTAACCAATTATCTTGCCTTGTTTTTACATGCAAGTAACATGTAATGAAGAAGCAATGGACGACGACGGTGGAGTTAAAACTGGTACTTCACCCGGTGCAAAAGTATGAGCACAGGCACAAGCATAGACGTAAGCAAGTGAGAAAAACAGAACATAGACATGAGAAAAAACCAAGGGGGGAGTAACACATACACAAGTGCAGAATAAACGGCATTCTCGATCGGCATCAGCTCATTGTCATAAAAGAAATATGATTCTGGGAACCAGAAGGAAGTCTAGTTATCTGTGATTGCCAAACAATGTGGCAGAGTCCGCCACATTGTTTATGATGGTTTCGCAGAGGTCTGGATCAAAGTGAATCATTATTGGGTGGCTGCTAGTGCTTATGACCTGGCCCCGTTCAGAGGCAGAGTCTGTAAGGGCCAATTTCCAATTCCCTCGGTTTCAATAGGCAAGATTCACTCTAGCTCACTGACTTTAATTCGACTAACACTCCAATAAGACGTTCCTGTTGCTTGTACATAATTCCATCAATCGTCCGCGTCTTTATCCGTCTTATCCGTCGTTATTTCGAGTGAATCGCATACACAACTACGTTTGCCGACGTTCGCCATAACATGCACACTCGAAAAGATCACGTGACTTAAACGCGGGAACTAAACGGCGGGAAAAATACATGAACAATATAGGCAACCCAGCAACAGAGTCATAAGCTCAACAGAATCGGAATCGGAAGAATAAGATCGTTTCCGTTTTTGCCGATTCCGCTTACTGATGACTCCATCGCTTATGATCCAGTGAAAACTAAATTGTTGAAGTCGGAAGCAGAAACGGGAGAACCAGCCAATCACGATGTCTGGAATCGAGCATTGTGAGGTTTGAAGTTTTTAGAACTTTTCTGTTCGTTTTTCGTGAGCGCTGTTAATGCACTACGAGCGATGAGTAGCGTACCAGTCGCTGTCTCTTTTCCTGCTGACGATTGTTTTTGCGCACTGTCACTGCGGAGGCAATGCATCGAGAGCGCCATTCTCGTCCCCAGAGGCCGCGCTCCGTTTGGTCAGCCGCGATTCTTGGTGCTGACCAAAAGGAGCGAGGCTTCTGGGGACGAGAATGCGAGAGCGCACGAATTTGCTAGGATTAAGCGCTCTTGGACGTTTGGTGGCCCTTACTGGTAACATTTGGAATCATTAACTCAACTTATGCAAAAAATTGAAATGTTGCTTCCCGGTTGACTCATAAGCCTTTAGCCTGCCAATGACCCCGGAGACACGCTGGGATTCTGGAGGACATTTTTTCACACGGTTTATCTCTGCAACCATAGTTAGTAGAGGTCTCCTTTACAAACTATGCTGCAACGAAGTCAGTACTCCGCTAATCTTTTTGCATTTCTGACTCAAGTAACTCATAATCTATAAACCACATTGAAAGTTCCAAAAAAAATCTATGTATGAGAAGATTTTCACGCGATCGTTCATAAACTATCCATTATTCAAGAATGAAGGGTTTAAGACTATGTTTTGTAAGAACTAGTGCAAGCTTTTGAGTTCTTTGCCAATATGTTTAGGAATTTCTTCCTACGCATGCTAGAGCCCATATGTCATAGGTCTCCTTGTTTTTTCGCCTGCAAATAGTCGCGCTTTCTTTCTAGTCCCAGGCTCCTCCAACCATCACTCTCCGAAGACGACTCGAAGAATTACGAAGATTACGCGATTCAGCCCGGTTGTGTTCCGAAGATGCGATTCTTCACCACTGTTCCATTGAGCGCACGCTTTCACTTCTAGAGTTGCTTACAGCTGGATTTTTAGCTTTTCATAAGCCGTTATGGGTAAGTCTTTTTCTTTCGTTAACATTTGGTGGTAATTTTTGCGGTAGAATGTTTAATCGGTGTCGCTAGAACCTTAAATTCAACAGTTGTTTACGATAAAAAACGGTGCATTTCACCTGATCGATCGTGCGCTCAAATTAGATCATTTATGAGCTTATTTAAGCTTATAACATAATTTTGGATCAATCTTTGTGCAACATGCAGTCGTACCGTAGTTATCGCCAACTGCCTGCGAGAAGATGATTTTACAGTCAGATACAGTGATTGCAGAGAATGCTCAGACCGCCCTTTTGTTAAGCGCCATTTTGCTGTATACATGTACAAAGGGGCTAGAAAAGGCACAGGGATTCAGTCCATTTCATCACAAGATTTAAAAAGTTCACCCGTGCTGGAGATCGATCTTGGGCAAGTTCCAAATAAAATGCACTCCAGATTCTGTACCAATGATTGTTTTTAACTGGTTCATATAATTATATGATCCAATAAATTTACGTATACAATCAGTCAGTACCCAGTCTGCAGTCTGCATTTTGTACCTAGTCTGCATTTTTTACCCGGCCTGCAGTCTGCAGTCTGCAGTCTGCATTTTGTTCTAGACAAATTTACAATCGGGGAAAAGAAAGCAGCAAATCAAAAAATGAACCAAATTTGCCTTGAAAGTCTGGGCAACCGACAGTCTCCTCTGCAGCCGTTTTTTGGGATGTCACGCAATGCTTCCCCCAAAGAAATTGCTGCTTACATGCCGACCATATTCCTTTGACAAAATAAGCCAATCACAGCTTCCATTGCATTTTCAGGCATGTTTTCATGCCAAATTTGCCCTTGAAACTTGCCCAATCAGAGATATCTTTTTTGTCTTTGCATCCCATTGTGGGAGATGTCACAAATGAACATGGTGACGCTTGCCTGCGAACACTCCATGGATTTCCAGATTTTGTTTAGGGCTGCCAAATAATACGGGCAACACTTGAAGCAGCTTTGTATGTTCAAAATTTTTGAACTCAATGCTTATTAGAAGCTTGCAATTTGAGAAAATTATTGTCGAGAAGGAAGATATCTTTTTAACTTGCCTAATAAAGAAACCGGGAAATCAAGATTAGTGGCTTTGCTCGATTTGTTGATAGTGAGTTCTGAATGCTGATTCTTTCCTCTTGACCTCAATCTGTAGGAAGCGTAACTTAGCCCTTGGCTAGGCTTGAAAGGTGTCTTGAATTTCTTTTTATAGTATTAACTGTTTCCACTAATTTCTCAGTAGCTCGCTGAAACGTCAAAAGCCGCTTATAACACAATGTCTTCCAAACAAACAATTTACTCTTTTGTATCGTTAACATGGCAGTTAACGTTTACAATTTGCCTTTGTCAGAAAATACATATTTTCTCATTAGCTGAGCATGGCGACGAGCATGTGAAACACTTAGGGCTTTCATTTACAAATTTTTTTGTCCGTCATGATTGTAAATTGCGAACACAGCCTATTTTTCGAGGGGAACACTCGCATGAAACAGAAGCCAGAAGTCCCTCAGTGTTCACCCTGCAGACTACATCCTTTTTGTGTGAAAGCCTACGTCATTCACACTTAGGTATTATGTGATTGGTCTGTTCAACAGAGTGTAAACAAACCACAAACACAAAAGGAAAGAATTGTGGTTCGGATATGAGCAGCTGTTTCTTTTGGGGAAGTGTTGTGTGACATCCCAAAAAATAGCTGCTGAGGAAACTAGGCAACCGACAGCACCTATGTATGCTAGCCCATAGGTTTATGTAGGCCTTGGCCTACCAATGTCCTATCTGGATTTTTTTTAGAACTATTTACAAAGTATAAAGGAAAAAAACAACAATTTGCTGAAGCACTTACACATTTGCAGATGAAAGAAACCCTGTTAGAAGCTATTATATCCAGTTTACTTAGTTTGAAACAACCACAATGTAATTTCACTGGCTGAGTAGGAACTTAAATCCCGCTGAAAATAAAGAGCTGCCAGGGCCAGAAAAGCTAGCTGGGCTTGTAAATGAGCCAGCTCGGTGTTTTCTTAACTACATCCATGGAATACGTGAACAAACTTGTTCAGTTCATATTGAGAAATAATCGTGTTATTGTTTTTTTTGCAAGTTTATACACCTCGCCTAAAGATTGGTCCATAAAAAAGAACTCAGTCCAAAGAAAAAGAACTTGACAAATGGTTCCTCATTACTGACCTCGCACTAGTTCAATAACATATTAATTTGAGACTTATAATTTCAACAAATTTAAAACCAATTAAACAAAATCAAACTGCAACATACACGTGTTCTTGTACTACAGCGACAATGGAAGACAATATGGGAGACATGGATGAGGAAGATAAGATGGAGGAGGATGAAGACGATGTTGAGGATGATGATGATGATGATGATGATGATGATGAAGCTGAAACAGAGAAACTGCAAAGTAACACAAAGTCAAAGGGAAGGAGAAAGCCCCGATCAGTACTAACAGGGCGAGGTGTCACCCTTGGCATGCTACTTGATGATGGTGTGATGGAGCCTGGGGAAAAGTGCCTTTCTATAGACTACTTGGTAAGCTTCAGACAACATGCTCTGATTGGCTCAGGGCATGTTTTGTTGAAGGAATGATTTTTCTAGAGATTTCCAAAGATTACCTCAGGATCTCTGGCAATTGGGTCTTCGTAGGTAATGGTCACATGGTACAAAAGAGCAAGCTAATTATTGGGACGTCTGAAAAAAAGCAATTTTGACTATTGAACTTAACTTTGTTTTAGATGCTCCAGTGCATAGCTTGCTCTTCTTTAGCATGGCAGATCCCAAAGATTCCCAAAGATCACACTAGGAAATTTATTTCTCATCTTGGACCTTATCAGAAATTGTGAATTCAAACATTAATTCTCTCCCTATACTGCATGCACATGTAGATTGAAGCTTTCAGTTCAATGGACAGTACTCTTCAAGGGATGTCCAGTTTTCAGACAATTACACCTGAATTCAGAATTTAATTGTATCAGTGCATAATCTTTTACCTTACTGAGCTTTACTTGAAAACTTTGAACTGACTACATGTAGCAAGGATCTAAAATCCCATCAGGATAGAAGGTTCCACTGATACTGTAAAAGTCTTGAACTTTCAAGCCCCTTTGTTCATGAAAATACTCTATGTTTCAGGGTCAGAAATTTGTAGCTGACCTCCAGTCTGATGGTAGGATCAGATGGCCAGAGGCTAATCAAGTGTTTAACTCACCATCGGCTTGGGCAATCTATTGCAAGAGGCTGGTGAATCCCTCCAAGAAATCTGGCTGTGGATGGGCATCTGTAAGTTTCTGATATTGATTCTATTGTTTTATCTATCAGATAGTATGTGTAGTACCTCTTAAAGGTAAGTTATCACCCTCTTGCAAGATGAGAGTCTCATCTTGTGAAATAAGACTTGTATCAAGAGATGATACTCTTTAATTGAGTGACAACGCTTTGGTGACATGTCTTGTGAGACGAGGCTCTTGTGTGGAGAAACTACACGTAGACTCCCATATCGCAAGATGATAACCATACTTATTCTAGTCTCGAGAGGAACAAGATGAGAAGTGGTAACTTACTTTATAGTGGTACTGTATGTTATACGTAAATGGGATTGGTTTACTTTACAGACTGTATTCAACAGCTTACAGACTTCCAGCATGCTTGACTTTGCTTTTTCCAGCTGGGGAGGAATGAATAATAATCAGTTTTTCGCTGTTGATTTGTATGGCCCTTTTGCCTGAGCGAAAGATAGACTGACAAAAAATAAAAAATACTTGTTCTGAATCTAACAGGGCAAAGTTCAATCTTGTCTGGCAGGAGGCAGTGATCTGCATGGTATAGTACAGCTTATCGTACAATGTGAACAACATCCATGAAAATCCATGTTCCATGAAAATATTGTAAATTTTGTTACCTTCAAGTTGTTAATTGAGTCTAATTTTGGCGACTGTAATAGGGTAGGCATCTCAGTTTCTAATATGAACTCTTTTCTTTTATTTTAACTGGGTAAATTCTTAATCTTGTCAAAATGTATTGAGAAAAATCATCCAGTAAACTACATTGTAACAGGATGGACCACTGGTCTTATACATGTAGACTATGACATATGGACTAAATGTAATCTCGTTCCCATCTTTTAAGGTGAAATACAAAGGTAAAAAGCTGGACCAGTTTAAGACAACTTGGTTTCGGAAGCAAAATCCTGTAAGTATAACAAATTTTGATTTATGTACTGGTAGATTAATATTATACGTACATTGTACCAATCTCATTCCCAGAGCCCACGTGTCTTTTGGTCAGCGCCAAGACATGGAGCTCTGGAATAATCAATTTCCAGACTCCAAGATTTTTGGAGTTCCAGTTTCACGGTGCATGCGTGCCTTGGTTTAAAACACGGCAATTTCGTTCCCAGAGCCCACGTGTCTTTTGGTCAGCGCCAACCGAAAGACACATGAGCTCTGGGAACAAAATTGCCATGTTTTAAAGCAAGGCACGCATGCACCATGAAATTGGAACTCCTAAAATCTTGGAGTCTGGAAATTGATTATTCCAGAGCTCCGTGTCTTGGCACTGACCTAAAGACACGTGGGCTCTGGGAACGAGATCAACATTGTACATACTACATACTGAAATGAAGCTGAAATGAAACTGAAGTGAAGCTCCTCCTCCTTTTTATTTATAAGTCAGTTTGATGGTACGTGGTGGTTTTTGCTTACTGGAAGAAATACAATATTTGCATAGCTTGACCTACATCTACCTCTTAGGCACGTTCTCCAAGCTCATCTACTGGCAATGAGTTTAATATTCTTCTTTGTTGCATACATATCACCACCTGAACTGAAACTTTCTCTCTTTCCCAACAGCCATCATCTAGCCATGGTGAAACACCAACATCTTCTCATAAAGTATCAGCCAGTCTGCCCTCAGTGCCCACCTCGTCACACAAGACATCGACAACTACACAATCCAGCAGTCATGGTGCTGTGCATGCTTCATCGTCATCATCAACCAGTTTGCATTCCCCAATCTTGGCTGTCTCACAGCCAACAGCACATTCAAAGCACACCACACAGAAGTCTTCAGGATCTGGTTCATCTGGAGGCAGTTCTTGGTCAGGCAACATGAAACCTACAGCCAAAGCACCACATTCAACATCATCAGGTCGAGGGTAAGGATATTGTAAGATTTACATGTACATGTACCTGGCTTGTCATGAGGCTATGTTATGGATATTCAGAGGCCAGGGCTTTTTATGGTCACCAGTCTTTTATTCTAAACTGTAACCCAGATACACAATGTCCCATGAGCTGAAGGGAATGTATGTACTGTAAATGTTATTAAAAGTTAAATCATCTCTTTTTCCCCACAGGAGGAAGCCAAACATTGGTTACATTCACCCACCACCTGTAAAATCACCTTCACCTTTCTCACCAACTGCGTTAGCTCCGTCCTCTTCACCAAAGTCTTCCTCAAGTTCTATCAGAAGTCCAGTTGGTAAGTGAAAAAGGTCTTGTTTATTGCCATGGCCTGGCTTCTCCTTGAACATGGGAATACATTGTCATTGCAACACAGTTTAATGTGGTCTGATGGCTAGTGGATTTAAGATTTAGGATCAAGCACTCTGGGTATGAGCTATGCTCAGGGTTATCTTTGGCAAGATACTTTACAATGCAGTACATATTACTACTTTCACAGTACTTCCCTGACTCTCCACCCAGAGGTAGCTGTAAGGGCAACTAACAAAATGGTTGCATTACTCTATGGCTAGCTACATAAGCAGGCAAGATGAACCAAATCCTGCACTGTAATTGGCTACCCAAGCAGGCAAGATGGTACTACATGTATCTTGCCTGTTCAGGATTACTCACTGTGTCCCTCAAGAAAAAAGTGTTCTTTTTCCATATAATACATCCTTTATAGACCAATTATTATTATTATTATTATTATTATTATTATTATTATTATTATTATTATTGTTATAGAGCAGTTATTATTTAATTAGCAGATGACTTGTATGGGCCCTTGCCCATCAGGCAAGTGAGAATGAATGTTACTTGCCCGGCGGGAAAATCTACTTGTCCTGGATGGCTGGAGGGCACTTTTTCTAAACTCTGATCTTGCAAAAACTAAATAATTACTACAAAACTCACCTGATAACATAATTTAGCCCTTATTAACCGAGCAGGAGGTCTGTATGGGAGAATCTTGACCAAGGTTATGAGTACAGACTGAACGCAGTGAGGTCTGTACACATGACCAAGGTTAAGATTCTCCCATTCAGACTGACTATGCTCAGTTAATAAGATGTTTATTATATGGCAAACAAGAAAAATTTAAGTTGTTTAGTGTAACTGGTTTGTACAAACTGACATTCTGCTTGCGAATGGCGATGAGCTGAACTAAAATTCTGCCAAAGTTTGCTCATCCTCTTTACTTTTTTTTCTCATCAGGCTTTTGGCACTTCCATAAATAAATATTGTTATAAGAAAACAGTCAATGATTTTTCAATTTAGTTTGCAACTTTTTCACTGCAAAACAGTACCGGTCTAGATGCTGGTCTTGCAGATGGGAAAATCTAGACCTCTTTTAATATCGATTTAAGCCAATCAAATTCTTGAATTTAGTAGTTCCCAGTCCTTGTGAGACAGAGCCATATAATAATACAAAATATGAGTATAAAGATCTGTAGAGTGCTGTGTGCAATTTAATTTGTGCAGTGGTAGACTCAAAACCCTTACATATACTTGGGAATTGTTTAGTACCACTCACAGTAATGGTTAATGGTTACAGATATACCCAGCCCTCTATTGTCTCCAACCAGCTCAGGAAGTAGGAAGCGATCAGCTGTCAGGGCTCGACAATCAATCAAGTACACAATGTTGACTCCTGACAGGTGAGAGAAATACAATTGTCGTGTCAGGCACTCAAAATAGAATGGAAAACTGTCTTGAGAAGTGATGTACTGCATGGTACAGTGTAACTCTGAAATACTTTTAATTAATTTTAGTTACAGCTGTACATGTTTAAAACAAATCCACACTTATCAATATGTGGTTAATGAATGTGAGGTTTGCTTTTGCCTTGAAGTGTTATTGTATGCAAGAGGGAACTGTTTTGTCACTTTCCATATACCAATAAGAGCTATAAGGTGCTTGGAAAATTTCATGTATGTGGTGAAACGTTGCTTTGAGTATGTAATATCTTCTCTGTAACTTCCAAGGTTGTTGTATTTCAATTTTTACCTCTGCTTTTAATACTTACAGCTGTAAGGCTGCACGCAAGCAATCACTGTAAATTTCTCCATATTTGTTTATTACTTGGTCTAATAAGTTATTGGTCCCAGACTCCTTAAACTGGTTTGAAAAATATAAACTGACCATTTGGAAAAATGCAAAGCAGAGGGAAAATTGAACCATAATAGCAACCTGTAACTTTGCCTTTGACTTGAAAGCCACACCAAAAAATTGTAAATTATATCAGTTGAATTGGGAAGAAGTCATGTTTACACTAAACGGAGATCTTGGTTCATGCACTTAAACTTGAATGCTCAAGATTGTTTCACTTGTTGTTAAAGTGATCCACATACTCTGGTTGAACTTGTGAACTTCAGTGCCATGGGAAAAATGCAGCCATTTTCTGTGGATATTTCAACAAACTGTCTTTTACTCATGGTGGGTATCAACTTTTAACGTACAATTTTTGATAAAATGTTATTTGTGTTTTTGGGCTGTAAGACATCTTCCTAAATTCCAGAAGGTTAAATCAGTGAATTATTGTATTTAATCATTTTATTTCAGGATTACCACTGTCATCTGACATCAAGTGAAGTTGTGGGATATCTAGCTGGACAGTTTGACCCACAAACACACCGTAAGTGAAACTGTCACAGACTGCATGTTTTTCTCTGATGATGACATACGTGTAAGCAGTCCAACAGATAAACTGTACATGTAAATGCAAAATCCTTGTTTGAAGCCCTCAGGGCTTATGAAACGTCTTATGAGTTTTTAGGGTGAGCTTACAGTAAAAGTTGTCCAATGTACTTTTTGATATACCAGGGGAGTCATTCTTCCTTATAAACATATTTCTTTTTAGACATGAAGATTGTCCAGGCTTTTCCATGTCGCTGCCGATTTGCAGACAAAGAAAACGCACCAAAAGTAGAAGAAGAGGTATGATAATAAGTTAGGTAGTGGGAAAGAAGAAAAAGATTTTACTGTTATTATATTAAGAAAGATATACAATGTTCTAATTTCTGTTCAGAGTATATAGTTGGTGTGCAAGTCTGTAATGCATTGACAGCACACTAGGCAACCAACAGAAAATGTTAACTCTTAGGATACCTGAGGATTCATCCAAAGTGGAACGTCATATAATTACCAGTCCATCAGTACTGTTTTTGTTGAAGAGTTGCACAATTTGGAAATAGAAAAGGCTGCTGCTGCATTTTTGTAACTCAACAGTTTGATTTTTAATGATTTATATTTCATAATATTTTGTCTGTGGCAGGTGCAGAATGCTATTGCACAGCGAGGTCTTATTCTTGTGGGATGGTATCACAGTCACCCGTCATATCAGCCTGATCCATCAGTCCAAGACATTCACAATCAGCTTAAATATCAGAGCATCTTGCAACAGGAAAATGCACCTTATGGGCCTTGCCTGGGTATTATAGTGTGTAAGTACTTCAGGGATTTTATCCGGGGGCGGCGGAGGTACTCCCTTGTATGGGCTATATAGGTATGTGCGGCCCCAAAGGGTATGGTTTTTCAGCTGTTTTGGTCATAAATAGGGTATGGTTTTTGTACTCTACTCTTAAACTGGGTATGTTGTTTGGAAGAAGCGACTTTTTCATCATTATTGATAAGACCATAAGCAAAAGCCCTTGAAAAATTATGTCAAGGGCAACTGTGTCAGCTGCAACGGTCATAAACAGGGTATCAAATTTTTGGTCTGGTCATAAATAGGGTAGGGAAAATCACAGAATTTGGTCATAAATAGGGTGAGGGTTTTGGGAAGCCCCCTCCCCACCAAATTTTTCTAAGAGTAACCCCACAGGATTTTATCCCAAGGATAAATAACACTGGTGGATAGCAAAACTAAGCAACTGATTTTCTGTCCATTTTATTGGACATTGTTTTCAGATTAATCCTAATCCTGCTCATTCTGCATGTTCTGCAATGCTTACAGTACTTTTCTTTTTATATCAGCTCCCTATGACACTTACAGACCAACAAAAGAATCAGTTATACGTGCCTTCTGGGTTCAAGCATCACCAGACAGCCAACCTCATAAGCTTGGTGTTCCCATGCTCATTAACACAACTCTACATCAAGACCAGTTTCTCACCCAGGATCTTCTCAATGAACTGGTAAGCATGATCAATAAAGGGATCTTTTCAAAAGTATAATATACATTGACTATTAAAATAAAAGTGTACATGGTTAAGATTATTTTGAGTCTTGTCAATCTTATTGCATGGATCTTGCCATCTACTGGTCTGCAACAGAGAGAACTGTTTGAGGTCTCTGGGAGAAAGACTGTTTTCTTTTGATCTGCAAAAGGGTTTTATATGTAAGTGTACCATGGGGTAGGGCCTAAGTGCCCCATACCACTAGAGCTTATCTCTGTCAGTTTCAGTTGCCTGAAGTAAAGAAAAAGTCTGCATATGAGCCAAGCGGCTCATCAGGATGGCACTTATCTCCAGGTTCTGTAACATTTACTGACTACTAGGAGAATTTCTACTCCCCCCTGGATGGGATGCTAGTCCATTGAAGGTCTAGGATTACCCCCAGCAATAAATTTGTTGGCAACTATTTGTACACCTGGGTGGAGAGAGGCACTGTGAGCGTAAAGTGTCTTGGCCAAGAACACAGCACAGTGTCCCAGGCCAGGGCTCAAACCCGGACCACTTGATGTAGAGTCAAACTCACTATCCATCAAGCCACTGGTCCTCCACAAGTTACATGTAAACTTTTTGTTATTTTTCAGCGATGGATGTGGAGTTTTTACAAAGGTAGTCCAGACACTATCAACTTTAATAACTCCTGGCATGGAAACCAAACATACCTCGACAAAGTGAAGGTATGCGAAACAATCCTCCATAGGAAAAAAGATGGCTGCTGTACTTTTTACCACAATACCATGCGAACCTAATACAGCCCGTAAAGTACAAGGAAAGCCATATTTTTTGCAGTATTTTTCCCTGTACTAACGACATTGTGTCTTTTAGGTTTGAAGGTTTTAGAACTTTACCATATGTTTTTATGAGCGTTGTTTAAGTTTCCATGCGCCAAGAATTATTATTAAATGTACCAGTCGCCATCTTTTTTCCTACGGCAGATTAATGTAATGGCCAGTCTGTTTTGGACTGTAATCTGTTGGTGAATCTTTGCTTATTTTTAAATGAAATTTAAAATTTTTGACTGAAAAGTATGCTACTAGCTTGACTCATCATGTTTCCTAAAACTTTGCCCTTTGGATCCCTGCACTCAAACCATTTGAATGCAATTTCAAATCCCGTTCAGAGCCTGAAATTTTTTCAGGTCATTAATTTTTTCCAGTAGTATTATGGCTGCATTCACATCTTTCATTCTTTCATTATTTAATTGCTACTGTTGGACATCTATTACCATGGAGTTCATATACTTGAGCCGATTATTACGTCCACTGAACACATGGGGCCAAACCCACACACGACCGCTCTCATGTGGCTTTGATAGCTCGGTTGGTAGAGCATTGAACCGGTAACGTAAAGATCGTAGGTTCGAATCCCATTCAGAGCCTGAAATTTTTTTCAGGTCATTTTTCCAGTAGTATTATGGCTGCATTCACATCTTTCATTCTTTCATGCTTCATACTAAGTTTACTTTTTAGTATTCTGTCAGTTGTGCTTGAAATAACCTCCCCAATACCTTATAATGTTAGTTTGCAATGGATTTTTAAATTGCTATCTGCAGAAAAACCAATGCCCAATATTTAAAGAATTTTAATCCTGGAGAAAGTAAATATTAAATTATTGCCTGTTTAGGGTTAGTCACCGTAAAATTGTCAACCTTCCAGCTAGTAACCTGAGCTCTGCAAAGGTGGTTTAGGCCAGATGGGAAATATCTTGGTCATTTTGTGCACAAAACAAGTGCTAGGTCTGTACACAACAACCTCCAGCCAAACGTCAGTGAATATTATGTGCTCTTATTACATAGCAAGGTAGTCTTGAGGTAAATCTGAGAGTTCTGGCACTGCTTCTTTCTTGGTCAAGATTTTGCTATACATGGAAACATTCAAAAGCCCTTATTATTTTTGTTTTTAAAAGCTGCATCAAAATTTCTCAAAACAACTAGACAAGTGCGTCATAATAAACTACTTCCTAACTTAACTGGCTTGAGCCGCACTGGGGAATATTGACCCTTGCTCATTTTTGTACTGACCTCACTGCACTTGGTCCGCACTGCCATGACTTCAGCCCAGTACTCCCCATTATTGCCCTAGCACTAGGTTAGTGAAAGGTTAATATTAACGCTGTTAATAGTGCATGAGACAATAAGGCACATAATTTATCAACTTATAATAACAAGGGGTGAAAATTTTGCAGCGTTAAATTATCTTACACCATGAACATTTTACTTCGTGAAATTTTCTCCAAAGACTGATTTTGAACATTCTGCTAAGTGTATATTTCATGGTGATCATGAATTTTCTCACTATGTCTTACTAGTGTATTGGAGAAATTTCACCCACATTCCAGTCAATTTTTTTTTTTTTTTTTTTTT